AATTTGAATTTGAATTTGAATTTGTGAGTAACCATTGAGCCAAGTCATCTCGCGCCCTCTAGCTACTCCAATACTGCGCGGATTCATTATTACCAATATGAACCACCACGTGTCTCTTGCTAATTGGAAGCTTACATTAACAACCCAAATTACCCTTTATGTGAAACGTGTTAAGCTAGGATTGGCTTATACAAAATATGCAGCCAACAAACTTATAACTCATAACCAAACGCACAACTCAAAACTCTATTGAAAATTCTATTCAAAACTCATAACCAAACTTTTTTCGAGATTCAATTCAAAAAAATAATTTGTCATTTTGGTCTAAAAAAATAATTTGTATATTTAAAAAATATAAAAAACAAATATAATTTTTTTTTCCAAATAACAGGTGGCATTGGCAATTGCCAAAAAAAAAGTACTGTTTAAGACATCCGGGAGGACGTTCGGGCGAACAACTGGGTAGACAAAAAATTCAAAAACTATATAATTTACCAAACATATTTTCAAAATGTGTTTTGAAATTGATTTGGAATCATGATTTGAAAGCTAAAACCAAATATAACATTCAAATCATAATTTTAAAACTAAACCACACACCATAAAATTATACTTTATTTTATTTTATTTTTATTTTTTTAATAAGATGCATATACTCAAGTTAACTTTAATTACTTTCATCTGACATGTTGGCCAGTTAAATGTGTCAAATCTAATTTAAAACCTGCCCAATTTAAAATATGCTTAATTAGGGGTTGTTTGGTAAATGAGTTTGGCTAAATAATTACAAAAGGATAAAAAAATGTCCAAAAATCATAAAAAGTCAAAAATCACAAAAGGACAAAAAATATTCACCATTCCAAAGCTAAAAAGCCAAAAAAACTAATTAAGAATACCAAACGAGCAAAAAAGTCTCAAGCTAAAAAAGTCATTGTCAAACGAAAGCTTAGTCAATTATGTTTTCACAATAGAAGATGATTTCTATGTGAAGTGCACTTTTGTTTAGGCAATAATGATTCATCCCTTTAATTTTAGAGTTTTAATTGAACATTAATGAAGTAAAAATTGAAAAAAAAATTAAAAAATCTAAGGCCAAAACATCATATCAATAGGTGGAGCCCACCTCCTAAAGCTCCTTTAAAGCTCATAGTTTAGAGCTCCCAAACATTTTTCTTTGTTTAAGAGAGGGTAACGAGGGGTGCATTAGATGTTCTAATGGGTAGCCAGTTTGGATAATCACGGCAAAAAATAAAAATTTTAGGGACTAAAATTTTGTTATAAAAAATATTTAAGAATTAATTTATGATATTTTGAATATTGTCGCTAAAAAAATCATCCCAAAAGGTCATGAAAAGGATTTTTAGTAACAAAATTTTAAAATATCGCTAATAAATGCATGTGACTAAATAATTTGACTCAAAACAAATTTATTTTTGAGAATTTTATTTTTTCTAACTAATACTAATTCATCTTTAAATATTCAATTTATTCATTAAAAGTACAATAATTACACATTTGACAATAAATGGGTGTTTTGGAAAGTTGGTAAAAAACTGGCTTTTGGCTTTTTACTAAGCTTTTTGACTTTTTTGGAAAGTGATTTGGGGAGTTGGTAAAAAGCTAATTTTTTGCTTTTTGGTATAATATTTTTTTAAAGTGTCAAATCACTTTAAAATGACCAAAATACCCTTAGCCAATTTATGAAATTTACGATTTTGCCCTTGTCCTTGTGTATTTGAACACTTTTTTTAATGTAATATTACAATTTTTCAATGTTATGCGGTGCAAATTATTTAATTATGAATTTTTTTAATGTAATATTACAATTTTTTTTTGTTTATCAATGTTACGCAGTGCAAATTATTTTTTTATTATTATTGCAATTTTTTAAAATTATTTTTATTATTATTATTCAATGGCATATTTAATTTATTATTTTTTTCCAAGAAATTGCGCTCCTACATTAATTCATTTCCACATTAGAAACTGCTAAACGCCCTTCACAACCTGCAATTTACAAACACAACCGTACATTTTTTTTGACACTTTCAACAGTTTGACACATTCATTTCATTTGCCATCAACTCGTACAGACCAAACAGGATTAGAACCCAAGTTCACGCCGATGTCGCACTAATTCATTCCGTATTGATTTCCTCACTTCGTTCATATGTACATCATCATCACCCTCTTGTTCACCATCATCGTCGTCACCAACACCCGCAACATTTGGCATGTCGTTGAAAGTAAAAGTCTCTGCATTCGCAACCTTATTGAACGCTTCATCGTCGTTGGAGTTGTAGCGTATAAAATTATGTAGTGCCATTGAAGCCCCGACCAATGCCACCTGCACTTTCCCAAAATCATATCGTGACATGTTATGTAAGAATTCCCATCGCGTTTTCCATACTCCGAACATACGTTCAATCGCACTCCGTAAGGAGGAGTGCACCATGTTGAAAATTTCGTTTACATTTTTTGGCGTCCAGTTGCACGAAACTCTTCCTAGTGGTAGCGGCATCCCTTAAATGGCGCCAAAAAGCCTTTTTGGTTCTTGTACCCCACATCAACAAGGTAATATTTTCCTGCTTGTATTTTGATAATTTTGCATTAGTAAGTATCATCATTACAAATATCAAAGGCACACAAGTAATACAAAAAATTCACCAGCCCTTATTCATCTAACCTTCCTCTGGCATGGGGAATTGTTTGGCTGGGTCCTATGTTACTTCGTTAAAAACTCTACTATCATGCATACTACCCTCCCATCCGCAAGATATAAAAGTAAAACACAAGTTGAAATCACATGTTGCGAGTATGTTTTACGTGTACCATCCTTTACGGCCAAAATATGGCGCAGCCTCCTACGGTGGGAGATGTGCCTCCACATGTGTGCTGTCAAGCGCGCCAATACAGTCCTGCACAAGCACACAAAGCGATACAATAACAGTGAAAGAGAAATGCTTTAACCCGAAAAAAGTTCTCCCTTATTTTCTGAATATGGTTACTATTCACAATTAAATGTATGAAAAATTAATACACTCACTTTGAATGGCAAATATTTTCATCGGGCTCTAAGTACGGATGTCTACTGTGTTGTGACCTTGTCGGTCGATAGTGTGCAACCGTGAACAACTTCATCACTTTAAGAACTCGCATTACATGACGCCATACTGTTTCTCCCGAGTGTTGGAAACGGTCTTCTATATCCCAACTCAAGAAGCCCCGCAACACGAATATGAACATGCCGACACTCTCAACTACGTCTACACCATAGGGACGTTGTGGTACTGGGAGGCAGCAATCCTCAACTAATGTCTTGCACAACATTAAGAACACATCCTGTGACATCTGAAAATTTCACTGAAATGCTTCATTCCTACCTCGAAGCATCTCCTGCATCCACATGCTACTAGTCAATGCTGATGTGTGAAACGGAGTCCTGTCAACATACATGTACTCATTGGCAATGCGAGCAATTTTCACCCAAATCATTGATGTCGTTGATTCTATTTCTCCGATCGTCTCTCGTATCCAAGAATTTATTTGGCCATAGCGTACGAGTCCTGAGCTAGTACCCTCTTACGGATCCATAGACGTTCCAAATTATATGAAAGAAAAATTACAAGTTGTAGTTCGCATTTGTAACATGTGTTGATCAACTCCATCATATATAGCACTCTTGTTAGACATCTTGAACTACTACATTCAGTTACTGTGGCCATGTGATTACCCAAAGCTGAACAACATGACACTACTATGTGAATGGTAGTACATTCTCCAAGTTTGTACAATTTCTAGTCTGCATGCTTCCATATAAGCAACCAAGTTTCATGTTCTTGTGATTGACGTGAGACACATCAAATAACTCCAATATTGCATCATAAATTTTTAGTTAAAATAAAGTAAGTAAACAAATCTAAATAAATAAATTAATGGAACACACTTTTGGAAGTAATAACCACTAATAAATGTGTGGCAAAAATATAATTGAATTCAAATCAAACTTTTTTATGAATAATTTTTTACAATATAGATTAGTTTCACAAAATTTAATGTGTGGACAAATTTTGTCACACAATTGATATTCTTAGTTATGTCAATTTTTAGGGATGTCAAGTTATGCTTGTAGTTATATCAAATTTTGAATCTTTGGTTAAGATTTCACAAGATATTATCCTTTTTTTTCACAAAAATTAATTTTAATCTGGTAAAAAAAACCCATCATTTTCTTTTTTTTCCTTCCTTGGGACTAAATTATTTGTTTTTTCATTTTTTTAAAAATTAGTGTTTGTTTTTGTCAATTTAATTTTTGTTTTGTCAATTATAAAACAGATTTAAAAAATTCAATCCAATAGTTTGAAACATAGACCAATTTGAGTTTTTCACCTCAAATCACCATCTGCCCGCCCCACTAATTTTTTCCACACATTTATTCTAGAGCAATTTCAATTTTTTTGGCCCCACAGCAAATGACCACAAAATTACAACACAAATAAATGAATGCGGAGATCCATAGATGACGTAAATAGAACACCAATCCAGTCAATAAATTAATTCATACAGAAATTTAAATAAATAGACCTGTTATGGAGCACCTAATATAAATAATTATAAAACAAACAAAAAAGAGCCTGCAAACACAAACAAAGTTGAACCTATATGTTTCACACCAAGCATAGATTCCCTAGACAACAAACAAAACGTACATGCTGATGCACCATGCATAGATTCCCTGGCCATGACATTTTGCATAGCATAACAACCATGTGACACAATAGTGCCATCTTGTGGCGCGTATACTCCCAGGCAGTACCTAAGTCCTGCACAATCATAAATAAACGTCCAAACCAAAAAAAAAGGAATACGAATAGTCTCTCATGTGCACCACAGCCAAAAAAAAAAAAAAACACACACACACACACACACACACATTGTTATACAAAAGAGTCGACGAAAATAGCAACTGAAAATAAACTACAGTCTCATGATAATAAATACTAAAATGACAATCCAACCACAGAGGCCCAGTCCAAGTCAATAGCAACATCATTCCTGAACAGCTGTGTCCCTTGTTCACGATCCCTGCCAACATTGGCCGGCGTGCAGGCACACTTCTCTGTCAACCAGTTCACAATGTAATTCACAGGGAGGGCCATGATAATGTCCCGATTATTAGGTGAATCCATTATGCCGCATGCGAATGAGAACAACTTACCGCCGGGCTCCAATCTAGGCGTGCTCATAAGCCTTGCAAGACAGTCCCCCACGGTGTTGTCACCTTTACCAGTGACAATGTATTGCATAATTTTTAGTTCCCGACTTTGTTTGCTCACTGCTTCCACGAGATTGTCCATGCTACTAGCAACAGTACCAGGCGCTGGCCGCTTGCAACGTTTTGCATTGGCTAATCCATCCACGGCTGATTGGGGGAGAGCATCATCAAAGAGGGTACTATCCAGTACGTTCTCCCTAACAGTGTCATGGCCCGGTTGTGGTTGTGTGTCTGCACTGAGAGGTCTTATCCCGCTATCCTCGTTGGCATTGGTCGCGGCAGCAGCATCATCGCGCACTTCTGTTGGAGTCCATGCATATTTTCCAGTCGCTACTGCGCCAGAGTACACCCGCTCCATGAGGTCCAAGTGCTCTAGAGGCTTACTCTTGAACTTAGCACATCGGTTGTTCATCTAAGACAGGAGAAAACACATATGTAAGTAAAGCTTGAAATGTGTTTACTGCCCTTAAAGTGTACCACCAATGACAGTAAAAGAGGCTAAACATATGAAGGGATTAATTGTTGTAATTTAAAACAATAAATGTAAGCACAGAATTAAGTATACACATGGCACATTGTGGGTTGCCCAACATATGTAAAAGTAGTATATTAAATAAGTGCTTTAATTTGCAAAAGTAGTAACGTGAACAAAATATGGCACCACAAATCAGAAATACTAGTACAACAGTAATGGAAAAAATAAATGGTTGCAATACACACCGTTTGCATTTTGGCCCACCAATGGTCAAGTGTAGTGAACGAACCCATCTCATGGTCGTACCCAAGCCCTGTCAAGCTGTGGCTGGCATTCTCCAGCTTCTTCCACGGTACCCAATCTTTCTTCAAGTTGTCAAACTTGTTTTTCATTTGTTTGGCCGAATGTAGCAGGCCGGTTTTCTCCAAAGATTTGTTCGCAACGTTCTTATACCAAGTCATGGATAATCCGCACGGTTGTCAATTACCAACTTCCATTTCAGCAATGACGAGTTGAAGAAACAATTTTGTATTGTCACTGTCGAATTGGCATTTGTAGACTAGTTAGTGTTGGGTTAATGTGATAGCCTTACCTCGAGACTTGGAAGGGGTACGGGGTGATGATCGGTTCGTTGCCATGAGCAGTGCCGTCCTGCTTGTAAATTTAATGAAATATCAGTGTTAAAGAAAGTAGAGTAGATAATTTTTTCATGCCCAAAAGTGAAATCGAAGTGTCCAGACAATTACTGCAGTAATAACAAGAAATAGTACAACGCTTTGCAAAAGACAAAGTCGGTTTGTATTACACATTGGGGAAATGTTATGTAACAGGACGAACACATAATTGACAACAAGTACATATGTGATACAAAAAGTAACTGTACAACAATATTACATCCATGACAATGCATCACATCTGAAACAACAACACCAAAACAACGACGCACAAAACACCGACGACTATCCTAAGCGTACGTAGGCTTTGATCTATGCGCACAACATCCGCCCATAACCCCATATCGACATCATTATGTGGGTGGTCAGTACCAAATCTAGCGCTGCGAAACTCGTCACACTAACCAACCCACGCAACACATCGCTGCCATACAAAAGTGCAGTAGATAGTTAGCATGCATACTATGCGACACAACCACAAATGAACGACGACATGACTAAGTGCATAAGAGATGGGCAACACAAACGCACCGTAGAACTAGGGCAAATGTAGTATGCATGACCAGGGTTTTTGGCAAATCTGGATATCTTGACAACGCAATGTCTAAAGCCACATGCACACATCCTCGGTGGCCATGATGAAGTGGCAGTTGACATGGAGGACCCCATCTGTATACTCTTTTGATTTTTTGTACATGTTATAAATTAAACTAATATGATGTAGTGTGCGGAATGAAAGAGAATAACTGAAAGAATTTCATAAAATTTAGTATTTTTTTCAAAAAATACTATTCTTCATACCTTTTAAGTAAAGGTTAATTTTGTTGACAACACACATTTTAAAAATAACACAACACAAAAATATGAAAAACCAAATACAAACTTGAAATGAAACAGCACATCACCGGCCACCTCTAGGTTAACTATTGAAAATGCTAGTTTACTGATGTGTCCTGATTAGACATTTTCTTTTCTCAAGTTTTCCATACTGTAATTGTCTTATGATCTCCTGTTTTGTTATACTAGTTTAGGAATACACAAGATATTTGTTATACGAATTTTTGTAGTCTGGGAAGTAAAATAAAACAGCAAAATAACATGAAAATCACCAATATTTTGTTTTCTTTTTCCAAATGGTGGAAGTTTAAAGCCCCCACTAGTCTTCCAACTCCACATCTCTAGTTTGTCCCCAATTATACTACAATTTTATAACCACCCACCACAATAATGGTCTCAGACAACATCCTAATGGTGTGCTAATTCTTTTCCTCCCCATCCCAACAATATAATACACAATTCACAATACAATGAAGAGGAGCCATTTTCCAAATCCTACTTAATACCACCTCCAATTGATACAGCTTTAACACTGATGAATCTATAGCTCTAATAATGCTACATATCGCAATTATTTGATGAATCTATATCTATAACTTCAGCACTGATAAATAGTTTTTCTTGGAGTTTTATAAATTTTTATTCCAACATTGAAGGCTTTTTTTAATTCATGTTCTCATTTTTTGTTCTAAACATTAATTAAAAAATATATATATATATATATATATATATTGTTTTGCATTTTTGTCAATTTGAAAGAGAAATTAACAAAGCAATATTTTGCTGCACCGAAGCCTACCCTAAGTGCAACACAGTGTTCGGTAGTTTTACTTGTACAATGATCGATCGAAAGGGATGAGTACATAGACGTTTCTGTGTACCTAACCCACAAGCCTGAGCTAACCTTGCCCAAACTTATTAAGTTTGGGTTTTGCTCAAGTTGCCTCAAATGATCAAGCTTGGTTGGATTTTTTCCAGCTTTGTTCAGGTTTTTCTTAAATGCATTTGTTTAGGTTTTGCTTAAATGCATTTGTTCAGCCCAGGTGTAAGGTCATTTATAGGCCATAAAGGCTATTTGTCATTTTCAAATATCTGTTCAACATAACATTTTCTATGTGTTGATGAACATCTATAATGCTTAAGGCAAAAAAATAAATAAATAAATAACATATCTACATTGCCAAGAATGGAAAAGAAGAAGAAGAGGAAGGAATCAAAAGATTACACAAAACCCAGTACCAAAAACTAAAAGGTTTAATCTGCTATATGTGAACCCAGTGGATGAAGGGGAAGCCACTTTCTATAGACAACAAGAAAAAGAAGAAAAAAAAAATAGAAACTTCAAATGATGATTGCAAATAACAACCTGCTATTACAGGTACACTGAAATTTTTAAAAGAAGGCTAGTAACGTGATCGAAAGGGATGAGTACACAAAACACCGATGGCCAAAGATCGGAAACACAAACATCACACAAGTCACAATCACAAGTGGAAATGAATATGGAGCAACATTACAACATATATATATCATACAACAGCTGGTCTCTTAATTTTTGAACAACTGCTGTCATGGAAATTGGTCTGTCAATACTTGCGAGAAGACAACAACGGAAGAGGGTTTTCCGCTTACCTGATGGTGCAGATCCAGCGACGATGAGGATGTGAACGACAATTCCGGCAGCAACTTCGGCAGGGAACGGCAAGGTCCTGGGTTGTTCGAGAGAGTTGGAAGCGCAACTTCAAGGAGGAGGACGAAATCAACACCAGAGGGGGAGGAGGCAAATGAATGTGTTTGTCCTAGGCCCCAATTACATAAGACGGAGGGTAGTTTGGTAAATTGACAGAGTTGCATTTTTAGATCTTTCCAAATGGTATATTTGCGTTTTTTTAAACTTTTGCGTTTTTTCCGTTGGGTGAAATTCCAGATTCGAACCTCAAGCTCAAAACCAAGTTTTAAAACACCAAATTCGATCCTCTTGGGCCAATTTTCTGGAAAACTCTTGTAAACTCATAATATAACATGATTCAAAGCTCAATTTGTAAAATCAAAGCCAAAGGGTAGTTCAATTAAACATAATTTCACACCAATCTCATGAACATAATGTAAAACATAACATACATGGATTTAATCAACCTCAAGACTTTTATTACAAGAACAAATGAGCTAATCCTTTCAAAATCATGAGGAATTCATGAACTAGAACTATAATATGAACATACATGTGGAATTCCATGGACAAAAATCCTCAAAACTCAAGAATGGCAACATGCATGCATGAATTCCTACTCAATTCAACATATTAAGCTAATTCATGCCTTAAATCACTATCCTTACCATGAATCATGCAAGAACAACTCAAACTCACAATTAAAAGGGTGAGTTTCCTACCTCAAGTCCTCAATTTCAAGAATGGAAGCTCAATTGTGCAATTCTTCTACAATTCTTCCAATTTCCAAGCAAACTCTTGTTGAAACTAAGTTTTTCCCTATCTCCTACTCTCTCCCACGTTTTGGTCTCTCAAAGATGAGCAAATGACATGAAATCAAGCTCTAGACAAAGTTTAACAAAGTGGCCCACTAAGCGGCATTTTGGTAAATAAGCCAACTAATGTAATTTAACATTATTTAATCCAATTTAATCATACCAAATCAAATTTCAACTAAATTTACCATAAAATCACATTAATTCTAATTAACACAAAACACTAATCAGTTCTGGATTCGGCCGCCGATAAGGCCTTCAATTTACAGTTCGAAACTTAAAACATGAACAGATAAATCAATGACAAACAGATAGAAATGCATTTAATATAACACATTCAAGCAATCAGTTTAGGATTTCATCCTAATCAGTTACTTATCATGTTCAGTCACAGTTTAGCAGTAATCAGTGGTGAGGGTTGTCACAGCTGCGAAACTTGTCACACCAACCAATCCACGTAACACATCGCTGCCATACAAAAGTGCAGTAGATAGTTAGCATGCATACTATGCGACACAACCACAAATGAACGACGACATGACTAAGTGCATAAGAGAGGGGCAACACAAATGCACCGTAGGACTAGAGCAAATGTAGTACGCATGTCCAGTGTTTTTGGCAAATTTGGATACTGTAGACACCTCATTTTTGACCGCCTTTAAGACTTGGATGCGACTAATGGTTTTGGAAGTTGGGCAATGCAAAGGTTTAATTTTTTCGACAAGGAGAGAGAGTCGAATATCAACTTCATACCTTTTTTTTTGGACCAAAACGATCTTGATCAAAAGATTTTATTCTTAAAACCCTCTCTTTCAAAACATTTTTGAAATAAAGTTTTTACGATGTTCCGAGGCTCACATTTTGTCAAATGTTGCGCTTTTCGGTAAACCGAGCAAGGACAAAGTGGAAATGAACGAAAGAGAGATGAAATCTTTGAAAAATCTTTCAAAACACCTTACTTAGGGGTTTGGAGTTGAAGAAAAGAGGAGAAGAGGGAACAAATCCAGTTGGGGGAGAAAATGGGCATGAACCGTTAAGAAAAAGGCAAGCAGCTCTCGCCGAATCGGGCCTATTCATTTGCATAATTGGAATCAAGCTATGAGGCCACCACCATTGGAAAGAAGACTTACGGAGCTTCATTTTGCACTCAAGAATCTCCTAAAGCCAATTCCGGACGGGGGAGATATGGTTGATTGAAGTAGGGCATCACTCCGGTTGGACCGAATCTGCGCGGCTTCACCAAAACAGGCATAACTTTTTCCACAGGAGGAATTTTAATACAAGGTTTGCTCCATTGGAAAGATAACTTCCGGGGCTTCAATTTGGACACTTGAACGGCCACATTGGACTTCCCTATCACTGACCGGCCACCTTTCTTTCCGGTAGACCCATTTTTTGTCCTGAAAAGTAGCAGGCCGACCAGAAAAGGTGGCCGGCCGGCCACCTACCTGGTTGGATAACCATTT